CGTAACACGTAACACATGCATAACATCAAAATAATTATGCCGTCGTGTCGACTTCTTAATTTCAAGGTCAAAGTCAAAATCACTAGACTTGTGGTTTTACGTAACACTTGTATTTTAGCATGATAATATTATGTTTAACTAGATGTTCCCCGCGACTTCGCCCGTGTGTTATTTGGGGTTTTTCACTGGCAGGTAGCTGATTTCATAAGGAGTAACTTAGGCTACTTTTATTTTAGAAAAAGAATTAGGGTTCCGCGCAAAAACATAAAAACCCTAACACGCAAGCGAAGTCGCGGGGAACAGCTAGTATAAGCAATATAATAAATCTATGCTACCACCCTACGTTAATTAAACTAAGTTAAAGTATCCAAATGCTTGCTTATTCCAATTGAGCTCTGCTTTACTGTGATATGGAAATAATTATTTTCAAGCTATTATTTGTTTGTATACTCTAATATAATATGAACATATAAGAATTAAGGCTTAAAAGTAAATTAAATATGATCATATTTTATCCTATACATTGGAAAACTTTTGTGAGTTTATTTTGAACCAGATGTGACTTTTTTATTTTGTAAAAAAACGTTGGCTATCTTTAAAAAAATTAAAGAAATATTTTATTTTTATTTGTATGTTTTTTTATTAATAAAGGCTTGGTTGCGTATCTGTGGAAAAGTCTGAATATTTGTTTCCATACAAACAATCACGAACTTGTATTTGAAATATCATAAACAATAATAATAATTGTTTGCTTATTTATTTTATCATGCCATAATGATGATTACTTCATGTTGTTACGCAATGTTAATAATATCAATATCTGTTTTTGTAAGAGCTTTGATAAATAATGTTAGTCACGCAGAGACCACAAGCACTCGTTTCTCAGATAAAGAACAAAGGATCGTATTTACTTAAATGACAGGCTTGCATTTTAGTATTTTTCCATGATTTTACACTGTTTTATTATTATTTTTATTATTATTTAGTTGAATAATACAAAAACCAACCTAAGCTTATTAACATTAATTTTTAGTTACTATATCATAGTACAAAATATTTCGAAAATAATTCTCCAGGACATCGATAAATATTTTGCATAAAGCAGAACGTAAAAGAATATAATAAAAAGTTGAATATTTTTTTATTCAATATAGGTAGAATAAAAGTAATTCTTGTTGAAAGTAATTTTTTACTTTTACCGCTGGTTCGGAACCTCTGTCCTGGTGGGAAGAACCAGCAAGAAACCCAGCGGGACTTTTTTTTTCAAAGTAAATCTATACATATATACAAATTAGTAGAATTGAAGTGTCTGTTTGTAATGTCAAAATACAAGCTTTTTACTAAATGCATATTAAAGTATTTATGGTACTTAAAACAAAAAAAAAAAACAATTTTTAAAATTTTTATCTCTGTTTGTTCCGATCCGACTAATCTCCAAAACGGCTGGACCGATTTTGACGGGATTTTCACTGGCAGATAGCGGATCTTATACATAGGCTGCACTCAAAGTATCGGGAATGGAATATTTCCACTGTGCCTGTCATATTAAAATCTTTTTAATTGAAAACTCCTTGGTTTTAAAAATCGAATACCATTTATTTATTTAAAAAAAGATTCTCGGTCTTGTCACAAGGTTTTGTCAAACTTGTTTAGTCGTTGAGAAAATGGAATTGACTCGAGAAAATTCAAGAGCGATGATTTATTATGACTTTCGAAGTGGTTTAACACAAAAACAGTGTGTTAGCCGGATGATTTCTGCATTTGGTGATGAAGCCCCATCCAAAACCACAATTTATCGCTGGTTTGCTGAATTTCAACGTGGACGTGTCAATCTCAGTGACGTTCCCCGTCAAGGTCGTCCAAAAACTGCAGTCACCCAAGAAAACGTTGATGCTGTCCGTAAGCTGATTGAGGAAGATCGTCATGTGACATACCGCGAAATTCAGGCAACTTTAGAAATTGGAATGAGTCAAATACAAATAATCTTGCATGAACAATTAGGCGTAAAAAAGTTGTTTTCCCGATGGATACCGCATTCGCTCTGTGAAGAGCAAAAAGCGACTCGCGTTACTTGGTGCGTCAGAACTCTCGAAAGATTCCACGCAGGATCCTCAAATGCTGTATACAACATCGTTTCAGGTGACGAATCCTGGATATACGCGTACGATCCCGAAACAAAAAACCAGTCACGAGTTTAGGTGTTCGAAAATGAGTTAAAGGCAACAAAAATTGTTCGTTCACGGAGTGTTGCAAAAAAAATGGTGGCCACGTTTGTCTCCAAAACCGGCCATGTTACGACTATTCCTCTTAAAGGAACAAAGAACGGTTAATGCAGAATGGTATGCTAGCATTTGTTTGCCACAGGTCATTTTTGAACTCCGTAAAGAGAACTGCAACCGCCGCATCATCCTCCATCACGACAATGCGAGTTCTCACACCGCACACAGAACAAAAGAGTTTTTAGAGCAAGAAAACATAGAATTATCAGACCATCCGCCGTACAGCCCCGACGTAAGCCTAAAATAAAGAATAAATTGCGTGGACAGAGATTTTCATCACCCGAAGAAGCTGTGGACGCCTACAAAACGGCCATTTTGGAGACCCCAACTTCCGAATGGAATGGTTATATTATACAATCAGCTGTTCCCCGCAACAATGCCCGTGTGCAACTTAGAGTTTTAATTTTTTTGCCCGGAACCATAGACTTAGAAGGTTGTACAAACTATTTATAAAACTTATTTAAGAAACAGATTCGAAACGAACACCCCAGGGGGATTATTATCAACCACTTATTCATTTATATTATAATAACCCTTGTTATACAGCTTTTGTTTTATAAAATATTTAAACTTGGTAATAGAAAGATCTTGTATATTTTCTGAGATTTTATTGTAATGGAGTGTCTATTGTCCCATGAATGAATTACTGAATAGTACTCTAGTAGCCCTCTTTTGCAAAATAAATATATGTAGTTTTAAACGTGGTAGAGCCATGCTTCAGCTATATTAGTAGTATAGTTGTAGAACGAATGGGTCGGCTCGACCGGGGAAGGACCACGCTCTCACAGAATACCAGCGTCAAATAGCACCTTCATGCTACTGTGTTTCGTATGGTAAGTGTAGAGAATCGGAGACCCATTTTACTGGAAACGAGGCATTCCAATTTTGATTCGCAAACGAGGATAAATGTAGATGTCTATGGGCCAACCACTTACCATCAGGTGGACTGTGTGCTCGTTTGTCACCCTATACTATAAAAAAATGTAGTTTCTAAACAGCCGCATTTCCCCTTAGCAGAATACCATGACATTATGGAAATTGAAATAAACTAATCTAGCTGTCTCGATACTGGTGAGACTTCTAATCTTTTTACAGCATAAGCTGCAGGGCTTAGTCTGCTTGATAGATTAGATATATGGAGGTCACACACAATTTTTGCGTCGAGAATGATGCCAAGAAAAACTGTGGATTCAACAAGGCTCAGTTCGTTACCATTTAAATCACATTAGTATTCAGATTTTAAACATACGATGTTGAAAATTTTTACGTTTAGTTATATTGCCGTTTAAATGTAGATTATTAACGTTAAATAGGAATGGGTCAAGAATTGAACCTTTAGGTACACCCAATTGTACAGGTTACACGGAATAACTTTTACCTTTGATAATAAGTAATCGCTTTATATAGGGCACTTGTCGAGATACGGAGATTAGAAGAGATGGACTTACCAAACAACTAAATGGCAGGGCCCAAAAGGCAAAAGAAACGTGGGAAGACAGAAGAAAAGATGGTCAAATGACATAATAAACACAGCAGGAAAAAGGTGCATGCATATGCAGTCAAAGACAGGGAAAGATGGAAAAGCATGGAGGAGACTTTTACCCATAGGGGGGCCACATAACAAAAAAATGGGAAGGAAATTATTAAATTGGATATAATATATCTGTAAGAATTGTTAAGTGGGAAATAAAGCTGTAATAATAAATAATAATAATCGCATGTTCATGACACTAGTGCTGTAGCTTCCTGATTAATGTCTAATGGTGAAGACAGTCTAAGGCCTTGAAAATATACACACGACATTCTCTGAGTTCTCGCATGCACAAAAAATATGGTAAATAAGCTCAACGCCGCCGCGCTGCGGCGTCTCAAATACAAGTTTGTGATCTTTTTTGTAAGGAAACGAGTATTCAGATTTTTTTCCACAGATACCAGTCTTTATTAATGAAAACATACAAATAAGAACAAAATACTCAGGTCTTTAAAAAATTTAAAGATATTTAGAGATTTAATTTTTAGGATAAGGCAACATAATATTATATGGTTTTTTACAAAATTAAGAAATATCCAAGGGACTAAAACCAAGTTGATATTTATGAAGCAATTTTATATATATATATATATATATATATATATATATATATATATTACATCTGATCTAAAAGGATTTTTTTTAAATTTTGCCAAATGTTGGTAGTACAGAAATTGGCCTAAAATTGGCGGAGTCTAATGCACCACCAGATAAAAGTATGACTTTACTATGTTTCATTAAATCAAGAATCAGATTCGACGCTTATATTAAAAAAGTGGCTAGATAAGGTGCTACTGTATCTATTATGTAAGCAAAAGTTTTCGAACGAGCCTTTAAATTTTGTTTAAGCAATGTTCGGCGACAGTAGGGGAAGAATTTGAAGATTTTGTTGTTCAAGAAGGAATGAAGTGTTACTCAATATTCTCATATGACAGTGGGATATGAACTCATTTAAAAAGGAATTTGGTTAAGCTCCTAAACTTATTTGAGTTTGCCCGCAAGATACTTTCCCGTGTAACATGTACAAAGTAATATTTAATTTAAGTTAATTAAAGATAGACATAAGGTGGAATGTTGTTTCTTTGGCACTTTTATGTTATAATAAAATCAATTATGTCTGTTTACATTCTAATTTAGAAAACAGATATTCTTCATTAAAAAATCGGCTTAAATGTAATTTTTATGTTTAGAGTTTAGAAACGCTCGACAATGGCAAACCGTACTTGGCGTCTTACTACGGTGATGTGACTGCACTGTCCAAGAACCTGCGGTACTACGCGGGATGGGCCGACAAGAACCACGGCATGGTGCTGCCCACTGACGGAAATTACTTCGCGTACACACGCCATGAGCCTGTCGGTAAGTTATGACATGGAGGTTTATTACTCCAGTAGTTTTTTATACAGTTTTAACAAAATACGAGGGCGGCACTGAAAATTTCGGGAATCAAGGAAGTGACACAACATTACTATTTAAAAATGTATTTATTGCTTTTCGAAGTATTCTCCGCGAAATTTGACACACTTTTCCATACGATGGAACCGATCATTGACGCAACCATTCCATTTGGAAGTTGGGGGTCTCCAAAATGGCCGTTTTGTAGGCGTCCACAGCTTCTTCAGATGATGAAAATCTCTGTCCACGCAATTTATTCTTTATTTTAGGGAAAGTATACAAATCATTAGGGCTTACGTCGGGGCTGTACGGCGGATGGTCTGATAATTCTATGTTTTCTTGCTCTAAAAACTATTTTGTTCTGTGTGCGGTGTGATAACTCGCATTGTCGTGATGGAGGATGATGCGGCGGTTGCAGTTCTCTTTACGGAGTTCAAAAACGACCTGTGGCAAACAAATGCTAGCATACCATTCTGCATTAACCGTTCTTTGTTCCTTTAAGAGGAATAGTCGTAACATGGCCGGTTTTGGAGACAAACGTGGCCACCATTTTTTTTGCAACACTCCGTGAACGAACAATTTTTGTTGCCTTTAACTCATTTTCGAACACCTAAACTCGTGACTGGTTTTTTGTTTCGGGATCGTACGCGTATATCCAGGATTCGTCACCTGAAACGATGTTGTATACAGCATTTGAGGATCCTGCGTGGAATCTTTCGAGAGTTCTGACGCACCAAGTAACGCGAGTCGCTTTTTGCTCTTCACAGAGCGAATGCGGTATCCATCGGGAAAACAACTTTTTTACGCCTAATTGTTCATGCAAGATTATTTGTATTTGACTCATTCCAATTTCTGAAGTTGCCTGAATTTCGCGGTATGTCACATGACGATCTTCCTCAATCAGCTTACGGACAGCATCAACGTTTTCTTGGGTGACTGCAGTTTTTGGACGACCTTGACGGGGATCATCACTGAGCTTGACACGTCCACGTTGAAATTCAGCAAACCAGCGATAAATTGTGGTTTTGGATGGAGCTTCATCACCAAATGCAGAAATCATCTGGTCAACACACTGTTTTTGTATTAAACCACTTCGAAAGTCATAATAAATCATCGCTCTTGAATTTTCTCGAATCAATTCCATTTTCTCAACGACTAAACAAGTTTGATAAAACCTTGTGACAAGACCGAGAATCTTTTTTTAAATAAATAAATGGTATTCGATTTTTAAAACCAAGGAGTTTTCAATTAAAAAGATTTTAATATGACAGGAACAGTGGAAATATTCCATTCCCGATACTTTTAGTGCAGCCTATGTATTCACATAAAAGTAACATCCTTATGTACGTCCCACTGCTGGGCACAGGCCTCATATCAAAGTGGGTTTTTAGGTCAAGGAAATGTCCGATGCGCTGTCTCCTGTTTGTCTGTCGTCTTTAAATGTTTTTCTTTAATATTTCTCAGAAATGCAGATTTCTTCACGATGTTTTTCTACACCGCCGAGCATGTAGTAAATCATTACTTAAAAATTTTAATTAATAGTTTCATTGGTGCTGGCAGGGTTCGAACCTGGATTTCTGGTGTAGGTACTGTGAAGTTTGACCTGAGCTACTACGACTCTTCCTGCCTGTACTCAGCAGGGAGACGTATTCTAAATTTGGACATTGTGAAATTCGAAATGGTTTCTGAATACCGGTCCTAGATTTCTTGATTGCCAATAGCTTATACGAAATATAAGCTGTATAATATAACCGAGTTTAAAAAACAAGAAGGTTCTATACTTGACCCATATGGTTTTTTTATGTATGTTCACTGAATTCTATAAACGACTGACCGGTTCTTTCTTATTAATAGGTTATTAAGTAAGTTATATTTCAGGGGTAGGAACAAAAATATTCCATCGCTAAGAGTGGAAAAATAGGGGATGAAGATTGTAATGATACTATTCAGATGATATTCTTGTTGTCGCTGTTAAGACATAGTGTATCGAATCCTTAACTTCAGAAGCTATAATATAGAAGTTATTATTTTTCTGTAGTTTTGAAGTCGGGTTGTATTTTTTAATTAAAATTTTAATTATTTTCCTTTTTTCAATGGTCTAAGGAATATCACAAGTTAATTGTAACAACAAGAATATCGTCTACAATTACAATAAGGGTCAATTTACATTGTGGCGGACTGGCGGAATGGAATGGAACGGAAGCGTCAATTTCGCCTCGTCGCGCGGGAAGACGCCGTTCTGTTATTTAGTCTAGATCTTTTTTTTTTTTTTGACAAGAATGGTTGATTGGATTTTATTTTCATATTGCTTATTTGTGAGACAGAAGAAGAACATGATAAGAAAAAGAAGAATATCAGAAAAAGGAAAAGAAATATTTGGGTTCATGATTTATGGAAGAAATGAAAACGTCACCCTTCACGCCACTTCCCGCGGATTCCACACACTGCGCCGACATTAGCTACGGGAATTCTCGAGAATGCGTGAGAATTCCCCGGAAGACGCGCGACTTCTTTTTCGGCTCATATCTAGTTTGCACGTTACACAATTAACAAAAAATTCATTTTACTGTGTACTATTTCGATAGGTACAAAAATTCGCTTCCATTTAGTTCCGCGGCAATGCAAATTGAGCTTAAATCTTCATCCCCTATTTTACCGCCCTTTGGGATGGCTTATTTTCGTTAAATTTATATGGGACCACCCCTCAAGTATAATTTATTTAATATAACTAGAAGTATTTTATTCGGTTTACACGCTTTGAGAAATATGTACATTAAAAATCATACGCGTCTAATATAGAATCTTCAGGTTTTTTGAACTTTACTGATGAACAAAAACTTTTAAATCTAAAATGTCAGGCATTTTAGGATCAATAGCAGCCACTGCTAAGAAACTTACTATACACGAAGCGTCTGCCTAGAATATTAACAACATGTATGAACATTCGAAAGATTTATTATTGACTTTATTACAAAATCTTTATCATTAAAATTGCACAAAACGATATAGCTCAGTTTATATGATACCTAGTAAAAAAGCACCCTAGCGTTTTACTAGGTATCAAAGGCTACTCTTTTTTTTTTGTTTCTTATCTTCATCACGATACGAGGTCGTATCGTGCGGATCATGTTGCTCTGACATATTATGTTATATTACTCAAAATACATAGTACTATTATTGATTCGGTGCTCAAAACAAGTTAGGTCACACTCGATATTTTTTTTTAATATTGACCGAATTTTTTGCCTACTAGTTTGTGGTTTGAAGTGTGTATATTTTAAATCATCAATATTGTTTGCAAATTTTTTAAAGTTTTCATTTAAAACTTTTAAGTCGGTAGACAAAAAACACAGTGGCAAATCAGCATTTTACATACTTATCTAATCACTTGCGTGATGCATTGCATAGATGACATTTTGACATTTTATCATTGTTATCCATTTGTTTCGGTGCTTTGTTTAAAATAACAATGACTGGATATGGACGTCTTAATATGGGCACTGATACCGCTTCCATAGCCGTAGTTTTGCTTCAAGAGAACAAATCACAGAGATTCGGTAGATTTAAGTCTCGGTGTGTCACGGGCATGCGATTCAAAATGTGTATAAATGATATCAGTAAACTGGCATTGTAAGATTACATTCGATATACTGCATGTCGAGAGTGTAAAGTGACCGCGCGCACCTTACAAAATAGCTTACATAAAGTCACTGGTACTTGACTAATATAATGCCCGATTTTTGTATTCAAGAAACGTTTCGTTCTCCGTAACGATCGTTTTATTACCTACGGAGTGCGTGTATAAACAGTTCATAGACGGCCTCCGCCATTACATTAGATTTGATAAACCACAAATTCTCGCAAAAGAACATCGATTCCTGCCAAGGATGATACGTGAGGCTATTGAAATTAAAAATAATTTCAATAGAGAGGGAGGCTGGGTACTAAACATCACTAAAAATCGACTTACGCAACCTTGTCCAGAAATTAAACTAATGTAGGTATGGAGAAAAATGTAGTCTCTCAGACCTTGACATTTTTTTGCACATACTTAGTCAGAACTATGGTCAAGCCAAAGAGTATAGTAAGTCAGGCCAAAGACAATTTTTTTTAAAGATGGTAAATATAACTTCATTCAGTCATTACTATGTTGTTATCCAAAAATAAAAAAATATCAACAATTGAAATATCGAATTATTTGTATGAAGGTGAAGTGAGCGCTAGAGTAACGACGACTGCACGACGATTTGTCAACAAAAAAAACAGAACGTGGCAACTATGACAAGTATACCCTCTATGAGGAATATAGTGGAAGCCTATGTTCAGGGCGCTTTTTTTACGATGTAACGGTGTTTGTTGTAATAGTGATAAGAGAAAAATGTGGGAGGAAAAAAGGCGAACATTTTTTCTAAATTTAATCTCGGTGAAATGCGGATACTCCGTGCGCGATGCTTAGGGCAGTGTTGCAAAGATGGGTGATGTTTGTGGCAGTAAAATTCTGTGCTCCCCTTTATTTCCATGGCCCATGACCAGCAGTGGAAGGAAACTGTACGGAGAGGGAGGGATTAATTTTATTATTTGAAACAATATTTTTGTGTATAAAAAAGTCATCAAACATCATCAAACAATTTATTAAAGAAAAGTTGCGTAAACAAGTTCTATAGTTAGAACAGTAATAAATAACAATACCAAACAATTCTACAGAAAAGAACAAAAAATAAAATATTATGTCACTTCTAGAACTAAGGCAAATTTAACGAATCGCCATATGTTAAAATCAAATAAATACTATGAAGAAAGAAACAAGGATATAGAAACACTCGATTTTCATAAAGAAAAGAAATATATAATATAACTAGCTGGCCAGGCAGACGTTGTTCGGCCTTCTCCGACGACCCTGTGTCCTATAAAAATTATTAAATTCGTGATAAAAATATTGAGGGTCACTTATCGGGATAAAAACTAACATATCTCTCAAGTTGGACCAAACTGCACACAGTACGCAAAATTTCATTGAAATCACTTCAGTAGTTTAGGAGTTCATCGCGGACAAACAATGTGACACGTAATTTTTATATATAAAGATTATATCGATATACTCAGTAGAAGCCTCAAAAAAAATTAAATATACTTTATTATGCTATCTTTTAAAGTATAGGTATATAATTTATTATGCTATCTTTGACCAACGCCATTTTTCTACTGACTTCATACAGGAGGAGGTACTCAAGTCGACTCTATGTTTTTTTTTTATGTGTGTTACCTCATAACTTCCTTCTGGGTGAACTGATTTCGATGATTCTTTCTTTATTTGAAAGCTGGTGCTTCACATGTGGTCGCATATAAATTTAATCAAGGTCTGACTAATAATGTTATTCTTAATAATTTATATTGAAGTCGGTTCTACAAATTTTTTAATTTTTAATTAAGGTTGAAAACAACTTCGCCCTAATGTTCACTATATATCGAAATTATAACATTAAACGTAATTTTAAAACTTTGTGGAATATGAAAATTTGTGTTAATTACACATGACTTATAGTGATAAATCACACCTTATATTTAATTTTCAGTTAATTCTGGCTAATAAATATAGTGACACGTGAACGACACAGTATTTGAAATGGAAATTTTATAAAGTATATAAAATTGTTACGAAGCAAAATATAAGGAATTAACTTTTAAAGACAGTGTAATTACTTACCTTTTATATAAAAACTAACAAAAAATTTCCTTAAGCCTCTAACATTCACGCGGCGAAGGAAATAACACTAAAGTATGTGACGTAAACGCGACGCGTAGGTAACGAAACTCGACATTTGAAGTAAATTCTGTTAATTTAGAGAAGCGTAATTTATTAACGAAACTAATTCTAATAAAATATTAGTTTTATAATTCATATAAATAATATTTAAAAAATAATTGTCCTGAGCACTTAAATATGGTTCTGACTAAACGTAGTTATCATCATATACTCTTTGGTTCTGAGGGGTCCTTTCTAAATATTATCATACTCTTTGGAGCGTTCTACAAAGGTGATATTTGACTGCCCCATGTGTACTTCAAAGATTTGACAGATTAAAATCGGTGAATTTGAGTAATTTTTTTTTTTTGCAAAATTTGTGATGTGTATTTATTTTGGTTGTTAACAAACATAATATAATTCATTTTTTATTTAATATTTTTTTTACCGAAAATGTAGGATGGCCCGTAGTTTTAAGAAGTAAGCATTATAGTTCAAAACTTATAATTAAATTTTTTGCTAAATTTATTTATAACTTTTTACTTTTCTATTATTTAAAGGCGTCTGCGGTCAAATCATTCCGTGGAACTTCCCATTACTGATGGCGGGTTGGAAACTAGGTCCGGCGCTCGCGACTGGCAACACCGTAATTTTGAAGCCGGCGGAACAAACACCCCTCACTGCTTTGTATTTAGCCCAACTGACTAAGGTAATGGAGTTTATTTTGTATCTTAGTTAGCCAACTGAATTTGCTGAAATTGCCTAATTATTTATTCTAAATGTTATTAAAACTTCGTTCAGATATTTTCTACTATTTTGCTACGCAATATGCTTTGGGTTTAGCTTAGTTGATCAAGGACCTCATCGTATGCCACAATTATACAGTACTGCTTTCATGTGGTAGAATCAACAGAGATAACAATAAATCAATAGAATAGACAGCTTATCCTAACTTGACTTATTAGACGTGGAAAACATTCGCATCTATACAAATAAATAAAATTGCAATTTCTGTTTGTAATGTCAAAATAACAGCTTTTTACTAAGTGCATATGAAAGTATATACGGTACTTATAACAAAAACACAATTTTAAAAAATTTTGTCTGTCTGTCTGTTTGTTCCGACTAATCTCGAAAATGACTGGACCGATATTGACGGCATTTTCACTGGCACATAGTTGATGTTATAAGGAGTAACTTAGGCTACTTTTATTTTAGAAAAATAATTAGGGTTCCGCGCAAAAAAATTCAAACCCTAAATTACACGCGCGCGAAGTCGCGGTGAAAAGCTAATAACTAATAAATGTCATGAGTAGAACGACAAGACTAGATATCATTTTGCTGTTTAGTTATGCTTAGTCCACTCCAGTATGTAGCTAAATTATGTCATAGTTTCAAACTGGAATGGACTAAGCATGAGTACAGTGGACTGGACTGGATTATTTTTTAAAAAAAAAATAATAGTTCCGCACGGCAAGAATCATTTCGCTTGTAAAGCCCTTACTGCAGCTCGGTGAGATTAGATTACTCGTTGGTTGATTAATCTTGATCTTTTTGTTAACAAGTCGCCTGCTGCACGACGAGTTTATGGATTTTTTACGCTAATAGGCTTTCTTGATTAAACATCAGGTACAATATTACAATAAGTGTGAATATCGTTTTTCCTTGTTGTATCGGTAAATCTTCGGGGCGAATCTCTATTACGTATTCCAGTACGGTAGGCAAATATCAGTTTTGTTTTAAGTAATATTACCGACAACCATTACAGTGATGTTTTACGTTAACTCGGGTCAGTATGATAATTTGCAATGTGAAGTCATATCTGCTTGCAAAAAAAGTATTTGATAAGTATCTGTAACGTATTTGTGCCTTGTTAACAACAATACACAAATTACTTTGTAATTTCTGTTAAGAAGTGGTGAATAACATTTTAGACAAGATTCTTAAAATAAGATTTAAAATTGAAAATTTTGTGCAATGTATTTTACACACAGCAATTTGTAATATATCTCTACAACCATAAGTTACAAAAATTTTATAAAAAACAAAATGAAAAACGCACTATTCTACTAGTAATTAATTAAGTAAAAAATAAATGACGACTACATAGCGCATTGGCTAAGCGTATGGCTGCGGCTCTGCAGGACCGAAGGTCAGCGTCTGAATGCTTGTTTTTATTGTTAGTTTTTTTTTGTTGGTTAATATATTGTTTTTTTTAACACTACATAGATGGCTAGTCTCCGGTGATAGTAGCGTCCGTTATAGAAGTTCGATTTGGAGGATATTACTACAAATAAAGGTCTAAAAATGTATTCGTGTTAAATATCATATTACAATTAAAGTTGAAATCACCACATATCTTTCATCATCTAAGGGAAATATTGTTATGTATAGCTTTTTCTTGTGGTTTTTTCGCAGATTTTTTAACAGTTCTGTAAATGAACGACGGCACCTATAGCAAAATTAAAAGCAATCTAAATAAAATAATTAAAATAAATATAAATATAACTGTTTGATTTGACATTTGAACCTATTCCATTTGACAATGTCATTGATAGATAATATTACGAAAAATAGAAAGAAGAGTTAACTGACATTAAAATTTGCCCACGTTTCGTACATATAATTTTTACTATGGAAGTTGCACCAGCCTACTATCGATATTGAGCTTAACCGGCGTTATTCGACGAGACGGGTGGTAACTTTTATCACATCACGGATGTTCGAACTGTGTTTGGTGTGCTTGTATGTGTGTAAGTGTAATATGTGTAACACATACATACATAATATGTATAATTTATGTATGTATTACAAATCGACGGAATTAAAAAAACTATTTAATTTTAATTTTGACATGACATGACGCACATTACTACTTCACACTACTTCCTTGGGCAATGAAACAACGTGTCTACAGCACCCTGATTAACAGTGAGCACGATTTGCGGGACCGCACAATTAACTGTGCAAATGAAATTAGAAATAACCCCGTAATGTTAAGGAGAGAAAAAAAAATTTTTTTTTTCAGTTTTTCCGTCGTTAAAATTAAGCAAAGTTTCCCTCGTTTAAATTTGTGTACATTATGAAGACTCTCACTGTATAAGATACAAAATATAAACGTCAACACTGGTGGCGGCCTAAATTAATCAATTAATCCATCACCCTATTTCCGTTTTATGTTGTCGTAAGAAGACTATGGAAAAAGCAAAAAATATCTTTTTCTTACCGTTCGATCTGATTCAATTCCTGTCTTCCGATAAAAGTTACTTTAACGCCAGACTTGAAATAGCAAAAACCGGAGCGAGATGTCTGTTACTGCGTTCGTCAGTCCATCTGCCAAGCGTGAGTATCGCTATAACGAGAGAAGTTCATGACTCAGTCTGTGGACTTTAATGAAAAAGCCTGCTGATGAAAAAGAAAGACAAATTATGTGAAATGTTATGTTTATTTTTTATTTTTTGTCTGTTACCAAAAGTACATACTTTGGAGTAACCATTTTTCTAGTGGAAAGTCTCGATATGAACGCATTATACGGGGTTATTTCAAAGAGTAGTAAATTTTACATTGATGTTCAAATAAATAAGTTATTATATACCAATATTACATTTTTTGAAAATACGAGTAATTAAGGCTTCTACTTTTATTTCAAATTATCCCAAATTTAATGTGATTTATGGGCAACAACTACTCTTACGCGCGCTACTGTGTGTGATTCAATTCACGTTTTCGTTTCTCAAGTTTTTGCCTACTGTTTACTTTTTTAGTGACACGCTTACTAGCTATCATCGATATAATATATATATATATATATATATATATATATATATATATATATATATATATATATTATATGTATCGATATAATATATATATATATATATATATATATTATATGTACTACGTACTAGATTGCGCATTCCGAACATACACTGTGTTCAACTAAACTGTACTGCAATCCGTACAGTGTGTCATTTAGTGTGGTTTCAATCTAGTAGTAGTAGTATATACTTTATTGTACACCACACATATACAACGAATAAATACATTACAGAGAAAACTTAATATATACGTATGTACAATAAGGCGGTCTTATCGCTAAAGAGCGATCTCTTCCAGACAACCTTTGGGCTAAAGAGAAACTGGAATTAAGAACAGTAGGAGGTGGTGCGCTTTATGTTACACTTACATACTAATATCTAAATAAACTAAACTATATTTTGTTAAAATACCACAATAATACATAAAAAATAATAATAAAAATAAACATACATCTACTAGTTAGTCTGTGGTTTCAATATACATGCAGTGTAGAGTGGCGCTAATAATACAAGATTTCAAATTAAATTTTAAACCTGGACGTAAATAACAATTCAATAGTCAAGTAAGTAAAATTATTTTTATTTGACGGCTCCGTGGCGCAGTGGCTTAGCAATCAGTTGTTGCGCTGGGGGCCGCGGGTTCGAATCCCGCACGGAACAAGTATTTGTATGGCCTACAAATAATTGTTCCGGGTCTGGATGTTTGTCCTTGTGCAATTTATGTTTGTAAACTGCCTCCACGACACAGGAGAAAATCCTAGTGTGGGGGTAACGTTTTTTAAAGAAAAAAAGAAAAGAGATTTGTTGTTCAAGTGAACAAACAGGTAATAATATCGGAATATTACAAAAAAAAATCATGAAAAATTATAGTTTATATAAACTGACCGCGCAGTTTAAGTGCAACACCCCCTAAAGTTACAGGTGGTACGAAATTAGGTTTCTTCGTGCCCACCTTACCATGAGCTCACTCTTTGCAACATTATATTTTAAACCGTGGGCTTTTGCATAAACCTCACATATGATCAAAAGCCGTCTGAGTGCACTGACTAATGGGCTCAGAAGCACCATGTCGTCTGCGTAACTGATGGTGTTCATGCAGAGTCCATCAATAGAGCAGCCGACATGTGCACTCCCGAGTCTATGAATTAGTTAATTTATATATAGATTAAAAAGCGTAGGTGAGGTTAACCCCTCTTGCATCACACCGCATTCTATCCTATACTCGTCCGACAGTGCATTAGACCACCTGACCTGATTAATTTGATGACCGTACCAATAGCTAAAAATTCTAATGTACGAGACGGGTAGACCAGCCTTTCGCAATTTATCCCACAGAATGTCATACCTGACAAGATTGAAAGCCTTTGCAAGATCCAGGAAGGCCGTGTACACTGGCGTATTCCTTACAGTGTAATACCCCAAAATGTGTTTCAGCGACAGTGTTGCACACTCAGTGGATAGATTTGGTCTAAAACAAAATGGTGCATCGTTTAACTTAATATATACGTTTAACTGTCTCTCAAGCACACTGTCAAGTATCTTAGCCGCAGTTGTCGCTAATGAAATGGGCCGATAGTTGCACATATCCGAAATATCGCCGGTTTTGTTTTCAAAATCGGTACCACGACCGTTCTCATTAACTCTTCCGGGAAATAAGAGTGCCTCATGCATAGGGTGACAAAGAGCGCTAGCAGTCTAGGTAAGTGCGGTCCAGCGTGTTGCAAGTGCTCGATGCTAAGGCAGTCGTGACCAGGTGACTTTCCTCCGATCGGTCCGATCCGGACGGTGATGCGATCGGGCACATGAGTTGGTGCACTAATCTGGTGCATCTGAACCTCAGCATCGACCTCAACAGGAGATTGTAAAGAAGACTGAACCCGGAACTGACTCTTAAAAAGATTGGCTATCTTCGCCGGCTCATTCACACCCCCAACGCTCACCGGGGTACCTGTTCTAGGACTCAACTGCTTATTATGCTTCTAAAGCCCACGAAAATCTTTATTCCTATGTTGATACTCTAGTTTATTCATCTTGATTTGGTCCTGATTATTTTGACAAAACTTAAGTTTTCGTTTAAATACTCCTTTAGATTCCATCATATCATTATAAAAATACCCACCACGCGGTTTCCCATGCCAGATCCAATTTAGGAATTTTTGTCGAGCATCCCCGTGAGCATCACGCACGTGCCAGTTCCATCCCAGTATAGGTCGTCCAAGCTTTCTATCTGCCGGTCACGATCACTGTCGTAACTGTACTTAGAGGCCTCGCACAAAATATTAATAATGGACATATATAATTTATCAATCACAGATCGACAGTGCTAAAATATTACACATATTATCACAACACTGATTTAGTTCATACGGGAAATCGATTTCTCTTAATTTATCGTTACAGTATTTGCCATATATGTAAATTCAAATTACGCTCAACCCATTTTACTTTATTGATTATATATTCCTGAACCGATAGTGATCTACGCCTAACCATTGTGAGATCACACTGCACCTCTAATGGAAAGTGGTCTGACCAGTAAACGTCATTATGAATTTTAATTGTGACTACTGACTTTCAAGCAGCTTGAGTTGTTAAACAGTGGTCAAGCCAACGACAACTACCATGTACATCACTCGTAAAGGTATAAAAACGTGAGACAATTCCTAGCTTCATAATATCGGCTGTAAACCAATTTTGTACTAGACAAAATTCTAACATTTCCTTACCAAACAACGTACCTGGGTGAGCATTAAAGTCTCCTAACACATACATAGTTTCAATACTCTCATTATCAACTATTGTAGATATTTCACTTAAACACTCAACAAATTCTACCAGATTGTCTTGCTCGTCCGTAGGCATATACACATTAAAAAATAACATAAACCTATCCGAAACACATACTTTAATATTAATAATACGCTCGCTCATACACGGAACCACAGATACAGAGTCATACACGTTGTTTCTCCATAGTAAGCCGACACCGCCATAAGGCCGTCCTTGCAATATTCGTTTGCTTGTATCAACTGCACACTAAGGGTAAAATTTCCCGATGAAACAAATATCCTTATTTACTTGCCCCAAGTCAGGAATCTCATGGGGCAGGAGTCATGTCTCCTGCAGTGCAATTATGTCCGCCCTTTCCCTCAAAGACTTTACAAAGTCTGCTGATCTTTTAAAAGATTCACAATCAAAGCTTATCAACTTGATTGTTGTGTTGTCCCTAGCATCATTATTCACCATGTTTTTTTTAATAAAGATAGGTTACTCGACTTATTTCATTAAGATTACTCGGCTTATTAAACCTAATAAATCTGCGGAAAGATACTCCAGTGGGCCATAGATTTTCATCCATAAACATGTAATTTATCCTTTGGAATCATAAATTTGTAAGCTCCGTAGTCCTTTTTTGAATTTCATATTTATTTTCTTTCTTTTTTATACACGGATAATAGACTAAAGGTGAAAGTTCCGGCGAGTTTACAGATTCACTATTGAAATTATCGCTCACTGCACTTGAATATTTTAATTTGATTGATAAGTTAATTACGACACGTAACGCTAATATCTCACCGCGGTGAAGACTCACTTTAGTATCTTTGTATGTACCGCGTAAACTTTCATTGCTTAAAATGTAATATTCACATGTAATATCACCATTTCACAGTGTCATAGAATCTGCGGTTTGCATATTTTCGTTACGTCATTGGTAACGACGCGTACGTAATGAGGTCACAGTCAACACTGTCAGTTGTCGGCCGGGCGAGCAGACATACCACATACTTACGGTGTATCAGTAAAAGGGCGCGGGAAGACGCGCAACAATGTACTTTACTGAGCGTAATACCCCATTTACACTCTCGCGCGAGCGACGAGGCGAGTCGCGAGGCGAGCCACGAGGCGCGAGTGTAAACGCTAGCTCGTGGCTCGCCTCGCAGCTCGCCCCCCACTCGCGGCGCTCGCGTCGGATTCGGTTTTTTGGGCACGAGGCAAAGGGCCTCGCGAGGGACGCGAGCATGGTGTTTACATTCGCGCTCTCGTTTCAGTTTGTTTACGGCGCCCTGCCGTACAGGTTGTGTTGTTTTGTTGGGTTTACACGTTCGACTTCAATTAAAAATGGACTGGTCGCAAGAAGAAACGCTGCAGTTCTTGGAACTCTATCAGGCTGAGCGAATAATTTGGGATCCAAAACATATTATGCATAAAAATACCCAAAAAGTAATTGATGTGTGGAATAGAATTTCCGAGGTTATGTGCAGACCGCTAGCAGAGCTCAAAGTAAAAAAGAATGCGCTTATGGCTACCTTTCGTCAACACCTACGAAGAAAAAAGCAATCTATGAAATCTTTGAAAAAATCTATGAATTTTTTTTAATTTCCTTCTTTTTAAAATGGTCAAGCATCGATAAATATTTATTATGGCAAGAGTTGATGCCGCTATTATTTCGACGTCTTCCATTGTTGTTGGGTCAACGCAAACTGAACGCATCGCTAGAGTGTAAACAGGCATTCGTCACCTCGCAACAACACGCGAGCTGCGAGGCGAGGTACGAGGCGAGGCGCGAGGCGAGAGTCTTAAATGGGGTATAATGGTTTACGATTGTGTGCGTGCGAGGTAAAATCAGTTAAAATAATTCATTATGTACCACGCAGTTTGGATTTAAAAGATAAAAATGACAGTTTGTGATATTTTTTAATTAATTTTTCTTCACCACTTGCATGTATTACTTATTCTGAACCTTCTTTGCAAATTTGGCTGGTAATTGCAAAATAACCCTGTATAACGAAATGTTGTTATAGGAAGCGGGATTCCCACCCGGTGTTGTGAACGTGTTGCCTGGCTTTGGTGACACCGGTGCTGCTATTGTCGACCACCCAGATGTTGACAAAATCGCTTTTACCGGTATGCACACATGGATATATGCACAATTTTAATACAATGAGAAATATGTTTTACCCCATAATTATTTCTTGTTTACGCGAACACTACACATATAAAGTCAGTAAACCCGTTCAGAAGTTTCTGCTATTTTTTTTTCTTAATTCTTTATAAACTTAGCTGACGGATAGTCATTATAATTATTTGAATCAAACACTTTTTTTTGGGCAATTTTTTTTGCGACTTACCTGTATGCGCAATACCAGCTGTACCCAGGTAGGCCAGTCATATACCTGCTTATTGAGTCGACTGATACCTTTAAACAAAGTTTCATGATGCATCAAACACTTCATGAAAAATGCTTCATGAGCTCTTGGACCATAATAAATTACATACGTTTACGTTTATAGTAACATAATTATATATGTTGGAGAACAAAAAATTTTAACAATATATGAAGTATTAACTGACGTATGGTATGCTCACCGCCGCGGTTCGCTCCGTCTCCTTCTTGCTGTCGCTCCTCCCGCTCTGTTTATTTGTTATCTGCGTACATATTATTATCTATGTCTTAAAGTTTCTTTTGTTTTTGAAGTCTATTAAAAAGCGTATCTTTGTCACCAGGTTCGACTGAAGTAGGCAAGGCTATTCAGCGCGGCGTCGCGGACAGCATCAAGCGGCTGACGCTAGAGCTCGGCGGCAAGTCGCCCAACATTGTGTTTGCTGACGCGGACCTCGATTACGCCGTAGAGAAAGCGCACATGGCCGTTTTCTATAATATGGGGCAGTGCTGTTGTGCAGGTCTCTACCCTTTGACTTTGATCATACCGCATACACAAATTTATTTAGCATATAACTTCAAAAATTAAACTAGGATTTCCGAAGTTAAAAGGTCATTAGTGTTCCCTTCTTTTAAAAAAAACATATATATATATATATATATATATATATATATAAATGATGTGTTTTATCTAGTTTCAACAGCTCCCGTTCTCCCTCAATTGTGTGCACTATCGTCATCATAATTAACACCACCGTTGGTACTATGACAGTGTTTCGGGTCTAGAGACGTTATTATTATCGATTTTTCTAGTGTCGTAGAGTTGGTACACGCAAGTACTCGCGCATGTAAGGGAGAGGCCATGATGTATAGTTTAAGCTAGGTAAGTTTTAAGTAAAAACCAATTAAATTGACGTCGATTTTTATGACTAAGCATATTTATGCTTGTACACAGGTTCCCGCACTTTCGTCGAAGATTCAATATACGATAAGTTCGTTGAAATGTCTGTGGAGCGGGCGAAGCGTCGTGTGGTGGGCGACCCGTTCGCCGCAGACACCGAGCAGGGCCCGCAGGTGGACGGCGAGCAGCGCGCGCAGGTGCTGCGCCTGATCGAGAGCGGCAAGCGGCAGGGCGCGCGGCTGGTGGCGGGCGGCGAGCGCGCGGGCCACGTGGGCTACTTCGTGCAGCCGACCGTGTTCTGCGACGTGCGCGACCACATGGACATCGCGCGCCGAGAGATCTTCGGCCCGGTGCAGCAGATCATGAAGTTCTCGCAGATCGACGAGCTGCTGGAGCGCGCCAACGACACGCACTACGGCCTCGCCGCCGCCCTCTTCACCGGGGACTTGGACAAGGCCAACTATCTCATCCAGGTACGTACCTACCTACCTACCTACCTACACACACCTATTTTTCAATTATATTACGAGTATAATATAGTAAAGTAATTTATAGTATCTTACTTACTTAATTATTAATGGTTACTGAATTTTGAACGTTTCTCTCTCAAACAGGGCCTGCGTGCCGGCACCGTTTGGGTGAACGACTACAACGTTTTCGGCAACCAAGTGCCATTCGGCGGCTACAAGCAGTCCGGCATCGGCCGTGAAAACGGACCCTACGGTATACACAATTACACCGAAGTGAAGAGTGTCATCGTAAAGATCACCGAAAAGAACTCGTAAATTCGCGTCGAATCCAGACCGAACCACTCTTCGGCCGGATCTATTCGATCCAAGCCCGCTGCCCATTATACCTCGTCGTCAGTCATCATATTTACCTACGTTATCGATGATGATTTAGTCTTCCATTTTAGAATAAGTTTATGTTTAGGTACATACTTTTGCACCTACTACTTGTTAAAGTTAAATTATAAGAATAATTTTGTAAAGAAACTTGGGTACCTCTACCTACGTTGCATAAAGAAAAATGTTTATCTCTAACGTTGTCTTCACTACGACTGTACGATATTTATACGACATAAGGATTAATTATGAAAACTGATCAATAAATATATTGTTTCTTAAAATTTCTATTCTTTAATTTTTTACTTTAAACCTATAGAACTTGAAACCTATAGATTGCAAGTCTGAGCTTGGCGTTCGGTACGTACCTACCGCTTCTTGCTGTAAATATAAAATCTATGGAACGTTTTCTTTGGCAAATATTATATTGAAAACTAATTGAATCGCGTGAAAATGGTGAAAAATAAATAACAATAAAAAAAATAGAATTTAACAGCAATAATTATTTTTATGTTTTCATTCGCTATTTAAAGCATTAGCGCCATCTACATTATATTATGGGCGCACGTACAATCTACCAAAGTTTACTTAGAATTTCCGTTAGATGCCGCCACATTGATGCTAAGCCGCCGCATTCTGAAAGAATAGAAGATTAGTAAGTAGAAAATGATAGGATAGCATAGGAAACAATAAGACAAAATGTAGAAGACATAGGTCTCAATAGTACTTTACCAGAGTACATATCATTCGCTGAAAATAAAATACCTAACAAAATAAATGTTATCGGTTATCGCATCCACTGCGAATGACTAAGACGATTCTTATGCTAGAGTCTAGATCTAGAGAATCGAGCCGATGGGACTTGAGGTCGCTGAAATGTCGCAAGTAACGTTTTCGTTGTGTCGTCTTGTTATTAAGTGATCACGTACGGTGGTGGTAGGAAGAGTCACGCCGCAGCTGTAATGAGACTGCAACAAGAATTGGTCGGCTCATCCGGGGAAGGGCCACGCTCTTACAGCAAGAACACCAGCGTATAACAGCATTATAACGCTGATGTCGCTGTGTGCTTCCTCGTATGGCCAGGGATTAAACTGGACACGCTTTTTCTGGCAATGAGGCATTCCGTAATATATACATAGGTGTTAGTCCACAAGCAATATGCATTTTGATTCATAACCGTGGAACGACACGTAAACTGTGTGTTAATTTGACGCGCGTACTTAGGTATAATATAAAGTACACCTACTAAGAGAAAAAGACAAGACTATACTATACTGTAAATTAATTTTATGTAGATTTATGATGCTGTTTATTTATAGAATTATTATATATCAATTTCTTTTAAATGTCAGTTTAGGTAATCCTCAAGTGGACGCGACGCGGCGCTCTTTCCGAACACTATCTTATCAGATTTAATGAAAAGATCGACAAATAAGTATGTATATTTAAAATCAATCTTAGGGGAAAGCTTATGGAGAAAACTTAAAAAATAATAAAAAGAAGTTTGGGAATAAAGAATAAGGAGGTGTGCAAAAAAGCCAACATCACGCGGTGTTCCCAGGCGGTCACCCATCCAAGTACTGACCGCGCCCGACGTTGCTTAACTTCGGTGATCGGACGAGAACCGGTGTATTCAACGTGGTATGGACGTTGGCGAATGTAATTACATTTTATGCGTATGGTAGGTACCTATAAGGTTTTTTTTTAAACTTTTAGACAATAAACTCTATTGCGTCACGGATAATTCATGCATTATCGAAAGGGATGTCTATTCATCAGAACCAGAGCCGATGGCCTCGCACCGACAATGATGCCGTACCGGCGTACGCATCACCGGTCTGCGATATTAGGGTACAACATTTTCCGACAGATTTCCTGCCGTCAGTCGATGGTCAAAGCTCCGTCACCTCCGCTCCGTCCGTCAGTCAAATCACTTAGGGCAGCAGTCTGCGTCGCGTGCAGTGCATTGCATGTAATAACGTAGGTTACATTGAGATTGGAGAAAAAGTTTGCCTGATCGCCATTCCTATTTATTTATTTATTGCCTAACAAAGGAAACAAAATAAAATAACATTCACGATTGCTTTTGAGATGAGTTGCGTTTTTTTTTTACGTGGTAGAGCCATACTGCAGCTATATTGTGGTTACAGCACGAATGGGTCGCGGCTCGTCCGGGCTAGAACCACGCTCTCAGAGAATACCAGCGTAAAATAGCGGCTTAATGCTGCTGTGTTTCGTATGGTGAGTGTAGAGAACCGGAGACCCTTTTTACTGAAAACGAGGAATTCTATCTCAGTCCTCAGGGGTGCCAACGCATCTGCATTTTGATTCTTAATTTATGATAAATGTAGCTGTCTATTGGCCACAGCAACCACTTACCATCAGGACCTGGTGGACTGTGTGCTCTTTTGTCACCCTAATATTATATATATATATATATATATATATATATATATATATATATATATATTTAAAAAAAATGTAGAGTCGATATATTAAACTACAATCGATGTGATGCTCAAAGTAAAATACCCATCATCAATGGAAACGACAAAAAGCCAACATCACGCGGTGTTCCCAGGCGGTCACCCATCCAAGTACTGACCGCGCCCGACATTGCTTAACTTCGGTGATCGGACGAGAACCGGTGTATTCAACGTGGTATGGACGTTGGCGACAGAAGCTCTTTATTGTGCAGAGATATTCTAATCGCCTTCTACGATACTTATGTACATACGTACTCTTACGCTCGCACGTAAAACGTATTCTGACAACCAAATTTTTAACAATACCATACACAAGTATTTGATGATCCACCATCAACGTGCTGGACTGCTGGATGCGTTATGTAGATACATAAAATTATGTATGTAGGTACAATTGTGCAACATAATATGTACCTACTTGTAATAATTAACAAAATATAATTATTGATATCCTATTTAGAATCTGTGCGTCCAAAAAGCCATCAAGCCAAATACAGCACGAGGAAGATCGGATGGATAGATCTGATACTTAAGTTCCTATAGAGAGTCTCTTAATATGTAGGTTTAATGTACACAATAAAGTAATAATTTATTTATTTATATTACCTATTACTACTATGTATATATATATTATGTGCACGTCCCAGCCAGAAGAGTTCACTATCTATCTATTTATTAGTAAAAATTGAATAAATTAAAAAATAATGGCAAAAAGCCAACATCACGCGGTGTTCCCAGGCGGTCACCCATCCAAGTACTGACCGCGCCCGACGTTGCTTAACTTCGGTGATCGGACGAGAACCGGTGTATTCAACGTGGTATGGACGTTGGCGAACGTGAAGCTGTAATAGGGAAACAAAACATACTGCGTACCTGAAACATCAAATTGGCACGAGCCATGTAAGTAAGCAAATACGTTGAGAGATTAGTATTAGGTACCTATATCATTTCAATCGTACGATTAACTTATGATTGAAGAACGTATTATTAGTCAGGTGGAAGGTGAATAGGTAAACAGGAGATCACGCGGCACGACGACATCGAGTCGAGTGGAGTAAAGTAAGTACATAGTTCAAGCAATCTGAGCGGCGAGCGGCGAGCGGTGCGATGAACGTGCGGAAGAGCGTGCGGCGAGCTTTGCAATGAACGTGCGTAAGAGCGTGCGGTGAGCGGTAAGCGGCGACGGTGAAGCGCTAGCGAGGAGCCAGGTAGCAGCGCAGCGCCGCGCCGGCAAAGTCCGTTCCGTTCCGTTCCGTTCCGTCCGCGCGACGCCGAGCGGGGCCCGCAGGTGGACGGCGAGCAGCGCGCGCAGGTGCTGCGCCTGATCGAGAGCGGCAAGCGGCAGGGCGCGCGGCTGGTGGCGGGCGGCGAGCGCGCGGGCCACGTGGGCTACTTCGTGCAGCCGACCGTGTTCTGCGACGTGCGCGACCACATGGACATCGCGCGCCGAGAGATCTTCGGCCCGGTGCAGCAGATCATGAAGTTCTCGCAGATCGACGAGCTGCTGGAGCGCGCCAACGACACGCACTACGGCCTCGCCGCCGCCCTCTTCACCGGGGACTTGGACAAGGCCAACTATCTCATCCAGGTACGTACCTACCTACCTACCTACCTACACACACCTATTTTTCAATTATATTACGAGTATAATATAGTAAAGTAATTTATAGTATCTTACTTACTTAATTATTAATGGTTACTGAATTTTGAACGTTTCTCTCTCAAACAGGGCCTGCGTGCCGGCACCGTTTGGGTGAACGACTACAACGTTTTCGGCAACCAAGTGCCATTCGGCGGCTACAAGCAGTCCGGCATCGGCCGTGAAAACGGACCCTACGGTATACACAATTACACCGAAGTGAAGAGTGTCATCGTAAAGATCACCGAAAAGAACTCGTAAATTCGCGTCGAATCCAGACCGAACCACTCTTCGGCCGGATCTATTCGATCCAAGCCCGCTGCCCATTATACCTCGTCGTCAGTCATCATATTTACCTACGTTATCGATGATGATTTAGTCTTCCATTTTAGAATAAGTTTATGTTTAGGTACATACTTTTGCACCTACTACTTGTTAAAGTTAAATTATAAGAATAATTTTGTAAAGAAACTTGGGTACCTCTACCTACGTTGCATAAAGAAAAATGTTTATCTCTAACGTTGTCTTCACTACGACTGTACGATATTTATACGACATAAGGATTAATTATGAAAACTGATCAATAAATATATTGTTTCTTAAAATTTCTATTCTTTAATTTTTTACTTTAAACCTATAGAACTTGAAACCTATAGATTGCAAGTCTGAGCTTGGCGTTCGGTACGTACCTACCGCTTCTTGCTGTAAATATAAAATCTATGGAACGTTTTCTTTGGCAAATATTATATTGAAAACTAATTGAATCGCGTGAAAATGGTGAAAAATAAATAACAATAAAAAAAATAGAATTTAAC